TATCTTTTAAAATAATAAGTCCATCCTAGTGTTAAAAGACAGGCACATGGATTGTGAATAAAATCTGTGAAGATATGATACGGACAGATCAGAAGATGGAAAAGCCAACAAAAGCTGAAGAGTCGGCTGCACAGCCCTAATGTCACAGCAACTTCTGGGGATGGGACCAGCTGGGCACAGTGGGACCATGCTGGAGTGGGGTGGGGTCAGCTGACTCCAGCTGCAGGGCACAGAACTGCTCCCTGAGTATAGTCGGCGGGGGACTGGAGAGACCCCTGGGCCAGAAGAGAAGTGGGGCTGTTATTGCAGGGAGGGAGGGGCTTACCTTTTTATGAAAGGTAATTCCTAGCCCCTCCTTCTCAACTTTCTGAATGACAGGGGATCCCCAGCCTACTTTCTGCCAGGGTCCCCTTGCACTCACACGTCCCCACCCACCATCTTGAAGGGAAGCCCTCCTAGGGATAAATCCCACTCAGTTCATTCTTTTTGTTCTGAGCAGCATTCCATTTTATGAAAATACCGCGTTGATATGCATATTTGGGTTGATTCTAGTTTGGGACAGCTATGAATAAAACTGCTGTGAATATTTTTGCTAACTTTTAAAGAAACTGGCAAGCAGTTTTCCAGAATGATAGTATCATTTTACATTCCAGCTCTTCCCATCTCCTCCACATCCTTGCTAACACTTGGTATTTCCTGTCTTTTTAATTTTTAGCCATTCTAATGGATGTATAGTGGTATCTCCTTGTGTGATTAAATTTGCATTTCTCTGATGGCTAATGATATTGAGCCTCTTTTCATATGCTTATTAGCCATTCACATGTCTTTTGTGAAGTGTCTATTCAAGTCCACTGACCATTTTTTTTTAAATGTGTAGTTTACCTAATTGAAATTTTGAAGCTCTTTATATATTGTGGGAACAAATTTTTTTGTAAGATACGTGTATTGCAAAAGTTCTCTAATTTTGTAGCTTCCTTTCACTCTCATAGTAGTTTCCTTCAAAGAACAGAAGTTTTTTATTATTATAGAGTGAGCTTATCTTTTTTCTTCTATCATTTATATTCTGTATCCTATCCAAGAAATTTTTGCCTCCTGCAAGATCATAAAATTTTCTCCTGTGTTTTCAATGAGAAGTTGTAGTTTTAACTTTTCATTTAGTTCTATGATTAATTTCAAGTTAATTTTTATTTGTGGTGTCAAGAAAAGGTTGATGTTTGTATTTTCCCTTTTGGGGTGTCCAGTTGTTTCATTCCATTTTTTAATTATTTTAAAATATTTTTATTTACATTGTTTTGCAACCATCACCACTATGTCCAGAACTTTTTCATCATGCCATATGGAAACTCTGTGCCCATTAAGTAGTAACACTCCATTCCCCTCCCCCGGCCCCTGTAACCACTTTTCTACTTTCTGTCTCCACCACTATTTTAGGGACCTCTCAACACCATTTTTGAAGACTTTCCTTTCCCACTGAATTGCCTTTGCACTTTCTTTACTTTTCCTTTAATCTATATTTATAATTTTATTTATTTATTTATTTATTTATTTATTTTTTGGCTGCGTTGTGTCTTCATTGCTACGCGCAGGCTTTCTCTAGTTGTGGTGAGCGGGGGCTACTCTTGGTAGTGGTGCGTGGGCTTCTCACTGTGGTGGCTTCCCATGTTGCGGAGCACGGGCTCTAGGAGTGCGGGCTTCAGTAGTTGTGGCATGCGGGTTCAGTATTTGTGGCTCACAGGCTCTAGAGGGCAGGCTCAGTAGTTGTGGTGCACGGACTTAGTTGCTCTGCAGCATATGGGATCTTCCTGGACCAGGGCTCGAACCTGTATCCCCTGCATTGGCAGGCGGATTCTTAACCACTGTGCCACCAGGGAAGCCCTAACCTATATTTATACACTTTCTCCAATACCACACTTATCTTAATTTCTATAACTCTATACTAAGTCTTGAAATCAGATAGTGTAAGTCCTACAACTTCATTCTTTTTTAATTTTGTTGGCTATTCTAGGTCATTTTCATTTCTATGTTTTAGAAGTTTTAGAATCAGCTTGTCAATTTCTACAAAAATTAAAACCCACCTGGGAATTTAATTGGGTATTGCGTTGAGTCTATAAATATATTTAGAGAAAATGAACATCTTAACAATATTGAATCTTCTAATGTTTGAACATGGTATGTCCCCCATTTATTTTGTTTTCCTCAGGTATCTCAGCAAGGCTTAGTAGTTTTCAGGGTTGCATTCTTAAACATTTTGTTAAATTTGCTCCTAAGAATTTCGTTATTTCACGTTATTACAAATGAAATTTTTAAATTTCATGCTATAATTGTTTGTTGCTAGTATATAAAAATACAACTGATTTTTGTAGGTAAATTTTGTAGCTTATAACCTTGTTAAATTCACTTCATTTTATAGTATTTTTGTAGATTCCTTAGGATTTTCTACATAAATCGTCAGCAAATAGCAAAATACTTCCTTATTTTGAATGTTTATGCCTTTCATTTATTTTTCTTGCCTTGTTGCAATGACCACCAGTACAGTGTCATACAGAAGTGATAAGAGCAAGCATTCTTGCTTTTCTCTCAATCATCAGTAGAAAATGTTTGCTATTTCACCATGAAGTATGTTATCTGAAGGTTTTTTTATAGATACCCTTTATCAGATTTAGAAAATTACCTTGTATTCCTTGTCTGTAGAGAGTTTTTCATTATGAACAGATAGCTGACCCACTTAAGGAACATTTTGATACCTTACCCAATAACTGCGTACATCCTATTGGCCAGAACTGGGTCTGGCTGCAAGTGAGGCTAGAAAATGTTCTTTCTTAAGTGAGCACATTACTGCCTCCTAGAAAACCAGGGCTCTGTTAATAAGGAAGAAGTCATGATGGATATCAGAATAGGCAACTAGCAAGATGCCACTGTGGGTATACAATTCTAGATTAACAGTTATTGACATGCCACATTTTAAACTTACTATTCTATTGTCATCTTGTTGCCATTAAAATAAATACTGTTTTGAATTGTTATTCTTTCCGTAGGTAATTTGTTCTCTCTGGCTACTTTTCAGACCCTGTTGTCTTTAATATTATTCAATTTCAATATGATGTGCCTAGGTGTTCTTTTAGTTTTATTTATCCAGTTTGCGATTTGTTGTGATTCCTGAATCTGAGGAGTTATGTCTTTCATCAAATCTGAAAATTCTCTGCTATTATCTTTTTTAATATTGTACCTCCTCAGTATCTTCTTTTAAAAATATGTTAGACCTCATGTATGAACGTTGAAAACATTATGTGAAGGGAAATAAGCCATTCACAAAGGGCAAACATTATATGACTCTACTGATCTGAGGTTCCTAGAACAGGCAAATTCATAGAGACAGAAAGCAGAATAGAGGTTACCAGGGGCTGGGGAAAGGAGAGAATAGATAGTATTGTTAATGGGGACAGAGTTTCTCTTTGAGATAATGAACAAGTTCTGGAAATGAATAGTGGTGATGGTTCTACAACATTGTGAATATATTTTGTTAAATTATAAATTGTGAAAATTTTTAAAAGATTGAAATTTTTAATATATATTAGACCTTCTCACTGTAACTTCTATAAAATGGTCTCATCTCCCAGTCTAACTATTTTGCATTCAGTCTACCATCTTCTAGTTCAATAATTCTCAGCTGTGTCTAGGCTGCTACTAACCTGCCCATTGAAATTTCAATTATTATATTTTTCATTTCTAAAGTTATATTTCGTTTGTTTTAAAATCTATCAGATTCTTTCTTTTCCTTTATCCTTTTTTTCTGATGCTTTCTAACAGTTTCTCATTCCTTGTTCAGGTTTTCAACAGCATCTTTTATCTCTGAGGCCATTTTTAGCATCCTTACATGTTTTGTGATTTTTAGATTGTGATCTCATGTTTGGTCAATCCAAACTGTGGTAAGCTGGAGGGATTGAACTCCTCCAGAGGTGATTTGCATTTGCTCCTGCTAGGTGCCTCAATGCTGCCAACATATAACCACTTCAACTCAATTCTAAACCACCCAGGTAGGGAATTCCCTTATGGTCCAGTGGTTAGGACTCCACACTTCCGCTGCTGGGGGCGCAAGTTCGATTCCTGGTCGGGGGACTAAGATCCTGCAAGCTGTGCAGTGTGACCAAAAAAAACCCATCCAGTATATATTTAAAACCCACACCCATTTGAAGGTAAAAGTCTGTACTTATGAATTCTGAAGGGAGATTTGATTTCTGTCTTGTGGTGAGTTTGTCATAAATTTTCTCATTTCTCTTTCCTGGAAAGGAGATTTTTTTCCTAGCCTTTGTAACCTTTTACTGAAATTACGAGTCTTTAATAATCCTGACTTTATGTGAGTATCAAAATACCAACTTCTTATATTGCATGGGCCCACATCCCTTTCTCTTGCCTTCTATGCAGCCATTAAAACCCAGAGCTTTAAGTTCCTGGTATTGAGAATGTCCCTGATATCACACTTGCTTACCCTGTTGCTTTTAGTTTCTACTTACTATATTTTACTCAGCATTTTCAAGTGTTTTACAATAGAGGGGTTTTAGGTTATGTTGTTGGAAATCTGTTTTTCTTATTCAGCCACAGCAGTCAGCACATAGAAGTGTTTAATGATTGTTTGCTGGTCAGATATTAAATGAATCAATAAATGAACAGAAAGACATCCTGCATTTTATTTTACTTTTTAAAATAAATTTATTTATTTTTGGCTGCATTGGGTCTTCGTTGCTGCACGCAGGCCTTCTCTAGTTGTGGCGAGAGGGGGCTACTCTTTGTTGCAGTGTGCGGGCTTCTCATTGCGGTGGCTTCTCTTGTTGTGGAGCACAGGCTCTAGGCGCACAGGCTTCAGTAGTTGCAGCACGCGGGCTCAGTAGTTGTGGCTTGCAGGCTCTAGAGCGCAGGCTCAGTAGTTGTGGCGCACGGGCTTAGTTGCTCTGCGGCATGTGGGATCTTCCTGGACCAGGGCTCGAACCCATGTCCCCTGCACTGGCAGGCAGATTCTTAACCACTGCGCCACCAGGGAAGTCCAACATCCTGCATTTTAAAATGTTTATTACCCACACACAACAAAGTATGAGGGTAAAGCACTAGGAATACAGCAGTGATCAAATGGGTCCCTCCTGGTCAACCACATCCTCTCATTCACTGAGAACTTCAGCACCCTGATGACAGGTTGTCTGCTCACTCCAAGTTCTGACATCCTCCATGTCTCTCCAAGTGATCCCTCACACCATGGCCTCCCAGTTCCTCCACCTCTCATCTCACTGACTGTAAAAGCTAGGGTTTAGGTGTAGATTATAGACCCACGTACGGCTAGTTTGAGCAGAAAGGTATTTAATACATGGAATTAGTGTCTACAAAGTCATTGGAAGTACTGAAAGTAGCACTTACCCTGAGCTGCTAGAAATATACTCTCCCCCAACAATACCACAGAACTAGTCCCCTGGGGATTTGTTCTTTTTTGCCACAGTCAGCAAACTGAGGTGTCAGAAAACTGATATTCCAACTGCTGGCTCCAACAGACCACACCTCGGAGTCTGTATTTCCCAGCCCCTTTCGCATCTAGGTAAGGCCATGTCACAGAGTTCTGGAATTGGTTTGGGTAGAAATGATGTGTGCCACTCCTAGGCCTAACCCATAAATACCTCCTGCTTATCCTGCATGCTTTCTGTTCGCTCTTCCGCTGGCTGAATGTAGGCGTCTAGGATGACCTTAAATCCACATGTCACAAATGGCAGCACTTCCTTCAGCACGGGTCCCTAAATGCCTATATGGAGCAGAGACTCACCCACCCCCATTCCTGCCTATGTCGCAAACTGGACTTCCTGTGAGCAAGAAATAAATGTCTATTGTATTGAGTCACTGAGACTTGGGGGTTTACCTGTTAAAGTAGCTGGTGTTTCCTCAACTGCTATAGGAGACTCCATTGAGCTTTCCACCTTCAGAGTCCTTGTCTAGATCAGCAGGTAGTGTTGCGCTGGCCAGCTGCTCAACATATCTGTTTGAATAATATGCTTGAGAACCAGGGAGATTAATACAAAATAAATTCATGTAACCACTGTATCCATTGTGGGATAGACAGTGGCCTCAAATGCATGACTTGTCTGACTTCCAAAGCCCAGCTCTCATCAGTGGACTGTGGGGGCATCAGAATGTCCAAGAAGTGGGGCTTCCCTGGTGGCACAGTGGTTGAGAGTCCGCCTGCCGATGCAGGGGACACGGGTTCGTGCCCCGGTCCGGGAAGATCCCACATGCCGCGGAGCGGCTGGGCCCGTGAGCCATGGCCGCTGAGCCTGCGCGTCCGGAGCCTGTGCTCCGCAACGGGAGAGGCCACAACAGTGAGAGGCCCGCGTACCGCAAAAAAAGAATGTCCAAGAAGTGGCATTCGCTCAGAGCCAGTGCCCAACAACCCCTCCGAGCCTGAGGTGTCCCTTCGCCTAGTGCATGGCCATCCTGGCCAAAGGCCATACCTCCCTGCAGCGGAGGCCAGGAAAAAGACTTAGTACAGCCTTGGGTGTTTCTGCCAGGTCTTTCCCTCTGGCAGAGGGCTCCAGGCCTGTGAGTGACTCATGTCCAGGAACTGGAAGAGGAGCTGCGCCGTGAGTCACGTCTGGGCCGTGTTCCCGAGACCCAGGGTCTTTCCACCGCCAGCCCCGCCTCCACTAGTGCTGACCCCTGCTTTTGTCCTGGAGGGTAACTCCACTGGCCAGGGAGCCAAAAATCTGAGGCCACGCCATTCTGCCTGACTATGATGGTGACAATACCTGCCTGGCCATGTGGCCTCTGCCACCCTAGCATCTTTTCATCCATTTCATTTGTGTCCCACCGTGGCCAGCTCCCCAGAGCCTTGCAAGGGTGTGGCTGCTTCCCTTCCTTACTCCAAGGTCCACCTCAATGTCTCAGTGAGAGCATCTTCCAGGCCCTCACAGAGGACAGTTAGAGGACAACGGAGCAGGTCAAGCACAATACACTCCTGTCCCTCTCTGTCTTTGGATGCCTTTTTCTGTATTAAACCAAAGAGTTTCCAGCATCTTGGCTTCATTCACATGGGCTGTCATGAGCCCTGGTTTTAACCACAGCACAAACAGTCAACACCATCCGAGCCCCTCAGATCCAGAACCTGTGCTCAGTCAGTCCCGCCTGACTTAGGATCATTTTACTCCAATATCCAGGGGACAGGAATGATGGTTGCTGAGGGCAAAGTGGACGGAGCAGACCCAAAGGAGGAGGTGGAGGCCTGCACAGATGGTCTTCGGTGTCCTGGGTCCCCCCACATCCGCCAGTCCCGAGAACCACTGCAGAAGCCCTTCAGGTGGGCCAAGTGTTCTCCGTGAAGCGGCTGGCCCACCCCACTCACCCCAGGCAGGCCCAGGAAATGGGAGGCCCTCCCTTGCCCTAGGTGCCGAAAGAGCAGGCACGCACCACTCACAGGGCCCCTCTCCTAACTGTGGGTGTTAGTTCCAAATTAGCAATGCCCAAAGCCACTTCCGCAGCCTGGCAGGATGCCTCGCACCGGGGCTCTGTCCCAAGCTGACCCTCTTGCCGGCTCCCGCAGCAAAGCCAAGAAAGGCTCACATCTCCAAAAGACTCTGGCGCCCGCAGAGCGCGGCTTTGAACAAACACAGCTGGCAGCACATGCGCCCTCCCCCCACCCAGAGGTCAGGGCTGGGCTGGCTCTGCTGTCCCGTGTGCACACACCAGAACAGCCTTCAGAGACTGCAGGGGAAAGTGCCAGTCATTTGCATAACATCACAACCACAGGCCGGCTCTTCCAGAGAATCAGGGCAGGCCCTCCGCTGCCTGGGGTGGTTCCCAGCTTGCAGCGGAGAGGGAAGAAAGTGCTTTTGGTTGATTCCTTTTAAACTCCGATTCACAGCACCAACCAGCTGTGATAGTTCCAATTACAAGTTCAAAGATTTCTGGGCCACGGAAAAACTTTCTGTCCTGGCCACCCACCCCATACTGCTCCCACGCACCGGCCCAGAAACCACACTGGAATGTGACACCAAGGGGGTGGCTCACCGGAGCCCCTTCCGTTCCCCACGAGGCCAGCAGCAGCCGCAAGCCCAGCCGTGTCTCTGGGAGTCGCTACCCTTCCAATTTTCTCCCCCACGCTGCCTCTCATCTTGAGCTTTCATCTTTCACCAGCAAAATACCAGCTCCCCAGCCAGGGCTGCAGTGGAAACTGTGTCTTGGCCCCCACCCCAGTGACCAGAGGCCTTTCAGGGGCCCTGTCCACTCTCCCACTGGCTCCAGGGTCAGTAACCACGGGAAGCCCTCCCCAACCAGCAGCCCGCATCCTGCTCTTCCTGAGGTCCGACCTTGTGGGGGACCCTGAAGCCTGAGAGCTGCCCTGGGGAGGGCTGGGGGTGGGCGACGAATGTCCCAGGGGAGCTGCTGTGGGGAGGAGCTCTGGGGGAGTTACGTGGGGTCTTCAGCTGCACTAAGATACCCACCTAACCACCCCCTGGGGCGTTCTCTTACTTTGAAACAGCTAAACAAACTGCGGACCAAAAAGGTGAAGCCATTCGTCCGAAGCTGTGCAGTGATGGAGCCAGGACCGTCATCTCCGCTTTCGATGGGCCCTTCCCATTGGTGTAACCCGGACGCAGAGCAAACCCCATATGCCCCTCTACACAGCACACACACGCCCCACCACGAACACCGCACATCACACACAGACACACCCTGACGCACAACAGACACACACATGAACGGAGGGGAAAGGGTTGGGAAGAAATTTTTATCTCCTGTTTCAAGAAAAACACCAAAAGTAGTGTTGAAGGAAAAGCCAGCAGCCCGCGGGCTCCACGGTTTTTGTTTCGATTCGCTCGTTCCACACTCTCCGGGTTCAGGCCCCTTAAGGAACACACCGCGCGCCGAGCGCGAACGCCGGCAACCCGCTTGCGAGCACCTCCCCCGCCGCCCCGCACCTGGCGCCAACTGCCTCGGGGCGCAAACCGGGTCGGAGCGCGCGCGCACGACCGCGCCGCCCCCCGCCCAGGCCGCCCCCCGCCGCAGGATCGCGACCCCGCCCCAACCCCGGTCAGAGAAGGCCTCGCCGCACCCCCGGGCCGGGCGCCCCCTGCCTGGCCCTGCGCCCCGCCCCTGCGGGGGTGGGGTGGGGTGGCCGCGCGGAAGTCACGGGGTCAGGGGGCGGGTCGCAGGGCGGGCCGGGGGCGGGACCGGGCCAGGCGGAAGCGCCAGCAGAGGGCACTGCTGCCCGCTGTTCCGCGTTCGCCCCTCCTAGGCCGTGAACTGCCTTCGTCCCGCTTCGCGCGGGTCAGCGTCCTGGGACTTCTGCCCCTGATCACGAGCCTGGGCCGGGACCTTTACGTGAAGAGGGTCAGATCTCCGCCTAAGAATCTAAAGGTGTCCTGGCCCTTGAGGGTCCCCAGGGAGTTAGATCCCAGGCTACGGGCTCCTGTGTTCTGTTGAGGTCAAGGGTCTCAGGTGCCGAGTTCGCTGGGACTTAAGGAAAGGAGTTGTCTCAGGCGGGGTTAGGGGAGTATTTGGGTCTGAGGTCTCAGGGGAGGGTAGTGCCTGGGTCTGGGGTATCAGAAGTTAGTGCCTGGGTCTGGGGTCTCAGGGGAGGGTAGTGCCTGGGTCTGGGGTATCAGGGGAGGGTAGTGCCTAGGTCTGAGGTCTCAGGAGAGGTTAGTGCCTGGGTCTGGGGTATCAGAAATTAGTGCCTGGGTCTGGGGTATCAGGGGAGGGTAGTGCCTTGGGTCTGGGGTTCTGGGATAGAGCTTTCTGGAACCACTTTGCCTTCCCTCCCAAGGGTCTCTTGTTACAGGCCTGTCTGTGCCGGGTGCCATGGTGGCTCTGTGGACCCTCACTCTGGCCTTGGCTGCTGGCCTGGCTGCTACCAGCCCACCCAACATTGTGCTGATCTTTGCTGATGACCTGGGCTATGGGGACCTGAGCTCCTATGGACACCCCAGTTCCACCACCCCCAATCTGGACCAACTGGCCGCAGGGGGTCTGCGGTTCACGGACTTCTACGTGCCTGTGTCTCTGTGCACACCCTCCCGGTGAGCAAGGAGACCGGGAGCCCTCACCCCAAATGCCCACCCCTGCCCATCCAGTTCCTCCCAGATGCACTCTGGGTTGCAGAGGGAGGAAGAGGGTCTCCATCCCTCTGTGGAGAAGTTCGCGTCTCTTTGTTTTTGTCCTCTCCCTCCCCTTCTCCTTGTGTCCATCTCAATCACTTTTGCTCCCTCTCACGGACTCTGTGACTTGTCCTATAGGGCTGCTCTCCTGACCGGCCGACTCCCAGTTCGGATGGGCCTGTACCCTGGCGTTCTGGAGCCCAGCTCCCGAGGGGGCCTGCCCCTGGAGGAGGTGACCCTGGCTGAGGTCCTGACTGCCCGAGGCTACCTCACAGGGATAGCTGGCAAATGGCACCTTGGGGTGGGGCCTGAGGGGGCCTTTCTGCCCCCCCACCATGGCTTCCATCGATTCCTGGGCATCCCATACTCCCATGACCAGGTAGGAACCACAGGGGTCCTTCCCCTTGACCCTACAGCCCCAGCCCACAGCCCAGACCTCTGAAGGAGCTGCTCCCCCAGGGCCCTTGCCAGAACCTGACCTGCTTCCCGCCGGCCACCCCCTGCGATGGCGGCTGCGACCAGGGCCTGGTCCCTGTCCCTCTGTTGGCCAACCTGTCGGTGGAGGCACAGCCCCCTTGGCTTCCTGGACTTGAGGCCCGCTACGTGGCCTTCGCCCGTGACCTCATGGCAGATGCCCAGCGCCAGGGCCGCCCGTTCTTCCTGTACTACGCCTCCCATGTGAGTGATCGTGCCCCCCCCCCCAGCCCAGGGCTGCCCGTGACCTCTACCTGCTGTTAACTCCAGTCTCCATCCCCAGCACACCCACTACCCCCAGTTCAGTGGGCAGAGCTTTTCGGGGCGCTCAGGCCGAGGGCCGTTTGGGGACTCCCTGATGGAGCTGGATGCGGCCGTGGGGGCCCTGATGACGGCTGTGAGGGACCTGGGGCTGCTCGGAGAGACACTGGTCTTCTTCACTGCAGACAACGGGTACTCTGGCAGGGGGCAGAGGATGCTGGTCGATCCCTCACAGGGCCCTGGGGTCTTCCCATCTTGACTGCTGGCCGAGGACATAGTGGGATAAGGGGGTCTTGGGAGATGCTGGCCATATGTGGTGACACCAGGTGCATGTGTGTGGGAGGCTGGGGGCCACGAGTACATGGAGGTGCTTGTCTTGGTAGGACAGGGAGCGGACAGGCACATGCTGGCCGTTTCTGGGCAAAATGTGTAACTTAGAAGTCTGGGGCCGGGGTCACTGGGGCAGGCCAGAGACCCTGGGCCCCTCATCGCAGATAACCTCTCGGGTGTTGCAGACCTGAGACGATGCGGATGTCCCACGGCGGCTGCTCTGGCCTCCTGCGATGCGGAAAGGGAACCACTTTTGAGGGGGGCGTCCGAGAGCCTGCCTTGGCCTTCTGGCCAGGCCACATCGCTCCCGGTCAGTCTTCAGGCCTTCTCCTCCTGGACACTTGGCCCCACCTCCCCAACCTTGATCACAGATGGAGTGACTGTACAGCCCTCTACCCGCAGGTGTGACCCATGAGCTAGCCAGCTCCCTGGACCTACTGCCCACCCTGGCAGCCCTGGCAGGGGCCCCGCTGCCCAATGTCACCTTGGATGGCGTTGACCTCAGCCCTCTGCTGCTGGGCACAGGCAAGGTAGGGCCTATGACCTCATGACCCCTGCTCCCCCCAACCCCTCCCGGGCCCCCCCAACTTGCCCTCCCCAGGAGTGAGTATGGGGAGCACCTGAAGCCCCTGGGGCCAGGCAGACCCTCTGTCGAGCAGTGTCCAAGGGGTGCCGCCCCTGGGGCTCTCGGGTGGGCAGGGAGCCACTGCACAGCCAGGGCCCAATGCAGGGCCGAGGCTCCGGGTATGTGCAGACCCCCGCCTTTGCCCCCAGAGCCCCCGGCAGACCCTCTTCTTCTACCCGGCCTACCCAGACGAGGTCCGAGGGGTCTTTGCTGTGCGAAGCGGCAAGTACAAGGCACACTTCTTCACCCAGGGTAACTGCCTCTTCCCAGCCCCGCCCCCCCCTCATAGCCCCGGAGCCTACCCCCCCCGCCCCCGCCCTGTGCACAGATGTGCCCCCCTCCCCAGGCTCTGTCCACAGCGACACCACTGCGGACCCTGCCTGCCATGCCTCTAGTCCTCTGACTGCCCATGAGCCCCCGCTGCTCTTTGACCTGTCTGAGGACCCTGGTGAGAACTACAACCTTCTGGGGGGTGTGGCTGAGGTCACCCCAGAGGCGCTGCAGGCGCTGAAGCAACTTCAGCTGCTCAAGGCCCGGTTTGATGCTGCCGTGACCTTCAGCCCCAGCCAGATAGCCCGGGGCGAGGACCCTGCCCTGCAGGTCTGCTGTCAGCCCAGCTGCACTCCCAGGCCATCCTGCTGCCACTGCCCTGAGCTCCAGCCCTGAGAGCATAGGCGGAGGCCAGCCCCGGGCCCCTCGCCCCACCCAGGCGTGTGATGGTTCATTGCTGTGCTGCGGGTGTGTAGAGGTGGTTTGTACCTGAGCACGCTAATAACACCAGCTGACACTTGCAGGTGTGAGAATTCACATGATCCTTGTGATAGCCCTGAGATAGGTGTTGTTCTGCCCGTTACAAATGAGGAACCTGAGGCGTGGAGAGGTCCAGCAACTTGTCTGAGGTCACCCAGCCAGTGAGAGGTTGGCTCCGGAAGCTGTCCCCCTCCCCCTGGTGATTGCTTGTGTCAGTGCAGACAAGCGTGGTGGTGAGTGTGGGCACACCTGTTCACGGGGGCAAAACTAGGTGCTTTTATGTGCCAGGACGGGGTGAGGAGGGGGCGAGGGCATGGCGGGCAGCAGACCCCGAAGATGCGGAGTGCCCACAAGAGCCAGGTTTTCCCCGGGGGAAGAAGCACAGGAACTGGACCGCCCTGGGTGTTAGAAACCTGTCTGAAGGAGGGGGAGGGGTTACCCGGTCTACTGTGGTGAAGTGGGCTGGGGAGCCCTGCCAGCTCTGAGGAAGGCATGTCAGCAGCTCCAGAGGCTTCCCCTCGGCCCCCCAGTGCCCCTTCCAGAACTCTGCATTTCCTACCTGCACACATATTTCCAGTCTCCTGGCTTCGCCTCTGCCCCCATGGGAGCCATTCCCCACCGGCAAAGTGATCTCTTAAAAACAAGCAGGTTGGGCTCCATTTGTGCTCAAAACTGCAGGCTTCCTGTCATGCTCAGAATAGAACCCAGACTCCTTGGAGTGGCCCACCATGCCCCACCCCACAGCCCTCGTCCATCAGCCCTGGCAGCTGGCCGGGTTGCCCATCATCAGGGGAAGATGCTCATCTTTGACTCTGTCTGGCATCTTCTCTGCAGAGGGGCCCCCTGCCTGCCCACCCACTGGCATCTGCGTGGTGGCATGTAGCCCTCCTGGGGTCCCCTTGTGTGTGTACCGATCCAGGGCCACGTGCTCCTAGAGCGGCTGTCACACCCCACATGCTCCCTCAGCATTGGTTGAGTGAGAAGAGTGCTGTCTGGGGGCTCAGGGCCCCGAGTGGGTGTCCTGTCCTCATGGTAGACCAAACAGCCATCCCCGTCCTCCTAACGGTCCCCTCACTGTTTCATTGGTGGGCAGAGGCCCCGTGACCTCTGAGGTACAGGCTCTCCTAGTCCCAGGAGGCTAGTAGCCAGTCTGAGCCAATCACAATCCAGTGATTGGTCCAAGAGAGGCGTGTGACCAAGGGTCCTGGTCAGTGAAAGGTCAGGGGCAGTCTGCTGGAATCCCGGGGTCTTCTGCATCACTCATCCTCCAGGAGCGGTGAGGACGGTGCTGCAGCATCACGGGCCCTGACCAGACATCATGCATCCGCTAAACAAGTGTCTCCAGCCATGTACCTCCAGAGCTCACA